AATGAAATACTATTGTTTCAATTCGAAATATTAGTCAAGTTTTATTTGATATTATTTTTATTTTCAATCTACAATCGAGTCTTTATTGGATTCATATTTGAGTTTCCTGTCTCGAAACATCAAAGTCAATAGTCAATCGAATTGAAAGTAGTATGCAGTTTATATTGAGATTCTGTCTTGTTTTCATAAACAGCTATTTTGAATAGCATCTTTTAGCTCAACTAACATGGGATTCTAGTTTTTTTTCACCATATGTCAAATTGAAATACTTTCTGAATAGTTGAGAATAAAACATGGAAAATAATTCTATTGGCTCAAAAACGCTATGATAAGCTACACACAAAATTGTGTGTAGCATGTGATTGTCGCTTTTCTTAACCGTAAATTGAAGATATCATTGGCAGTCTTTGGGAGAGTGAAGTGTTAGCATCAGTAGATGGCGTTGACCGACGCTAAACCACGTATATGTATGCTTTGTTGATTGTGTTTTGTTCTATTAAATAATTTATCAGATAACCAATTGACGTGATTGACTTTCCTATTATACGTATATATTGTTTTCTCTTCTTAAAGAAGTTTCTCTCAACATCATTATTCGTGTGTTTGTTGCTATTATTATATATTCGGTCATGTATGTTCAAATATATATTGATTCTGAACTTCAGCTACATAACAACTAATTCATGTAGGCTTATGATTTACATAAATATACAGTAGATACAGCTCTATCATATTATCTCTGAACTATAGCTAACAACCCACGCCCAGAGAGGCAGACAGAAATATATACAAACAACTTTCAATTTTTTTCATATATCCTTCCTAAAATCGAGGAAATAGCAGCTAGTGAAGTTATGATCGAGTGCACGTTTTTTCTAATTTATAAATCACTTATTGTGCGCGTTCTTAAAAATCCTCGATCAATAAGGCATAGAAAGAGAAAAAAAGAAGAAAATTATCATGCAGAAAAGATGGGGTTTCTCATTAATACACGAGGATGAGTAATTTGATATATACGGATGAATGCACGCAAGCCAATCTAATATAAACATGTGTATGTAAGGGGCTTTATGTGTATTTTACTTTGCATACAACGAAAGCCGATCAATCGTTCTATTCTTCTCCTCATCAACACACAATACTTCATACACATATATTCAACAAAGGTATCTGTTTGGAAATTATATTCTCGTTTGTGGAATATTTTCATCATCAGTGTCTAGCAGACTCTTTTATTATTAAGTGGTACCAATAAAATTGTATAGTATTGCTTTCATAATATTCTCATTGTTTTCGGCTAACAACTGTATGCCGAAATTCTGAGTGAAATGCATGTAATATATCAACACAGAACAAAGCAGATTGTAACAAGTTGAAAAGAGCTCTAGAGCTCTAAATCACTTTGTTTGTAAACCTGATTTTACTTGCGTTCCCATAGCAACAATGACTAGACAGCTGAGTTTCCAGCACAGACTAAGTCTATATATCTACTCTAAATTTATATATATAATGTTCAGTGCCTGTTTGTGTGTCTGTGCCGGGTCAAAGGTTAAAGGTCACATACGGCTATAAGGGGAAGATCTCCAGGGACTATTTATGGGGTACTTATAGGTCCTCAAGGGCTATCCTATGGGGTACCCATTGGCCCTCAAGCGCTATCCTATGGGGGTACCCATAGGTCCTTAATGTCTATAATATGGGGGTACCCATAGGTCGTCAAGCGCCATCCTATGGCGGTACCCATAGGTCCTCAAGGGCCATCCTATGAAGGTACCCATAGGTCCTCAAGGGCCAGCCTATGGAGGTACCCATAGGTCCTCAAGGGCTATTCTATGGGGGTACCCATAGGTCCTCAAGGGCCATCCTATGGAGGTACCCATAGGTCCAAAAGGGCCATCCTATGGAGGTACCCATAGGTCCTCAAGGGCCATCCTATGGAGGTATCCATAGGTCGTCAAGGGCCATCCTATGGAGGGACCCATAGGTCCTCAAGGGCCATCCTATGGTGGTACCCATAGGTCCTCAAGGGCCATCCTATGGAGGTACCCATAGGTTCTCAAGGGCCGTCCTATGGAGGTACCCATAGGTCCTCAAGGGCTATTCTATGGGGGTACCCATAGGTCCTCAAGGGCCATCCTAAGGGGGTACCCATGGGTCCTCAAGGGCCATCCTAAGGGGGTACCCATGGGTCCTCAAGGGCCATCGTAGGCGGGTAACCATAGGTCATCAAGGGCTATCCTATGGGGGTACCCATAGGTCCTTAAGGGCTATAATATGAGGGTACCCATAGATCTCCAAGGCCTATTATATGGGGGTACCTATGGATCCCCAACGGCTATGCTATGGGGGTATCCATAGGTCCTTAATGGTTATAATCTGGGGGTACTCATAGGTCATCGAGTGGCATCCTATTTAGGTATCCGTAGGTCCCGAAGGGCTATTATATTGTGATACGCAACGGCCCTGAAGGGAGTAAGGCAATAGGGAGATAAGGCTACAAAGAATATAAGGCTATAACGCCGAAGGCTGCATGGACTATAAAAATATGTGCGATATGAAAGTATGAGGTCGTAGGGCACCCTATCTATACACATAATATCGAGTGTCTGTATGTATTTTAGCGGATGAAAAGTTAAATGTCTCAGGTCATACATTAAAGGAGAAAACAGCCGTGCAGAATGCACGGGTTTTCGCTAGAACTATGAATATTGCACTGCTCGACTTCTGGAACATATCTAAAAAGAATATTTTTTAGAGGATCAACACTAATTTTATCTCTTCTACATTTAGCTAGCAACGAAAAACACATTAAATGACGTAAATTTTTCTGCGTGGGTGAAATTGATAAGTGGATTATTGCATTGAGCTAAAAGGGTGATGTACGAAACCCTTTTCTTGATGTTTTTAATGTGGATTTCGTGCAGAATCTGGTCGGTAGGAAACCTAAAATGGTTTAGAATTCGTCTCAAAAAACGAAACCCTTGAAAGTTTCGCACCTTGCATGAAACTCTATTTTTCTTAACGAGAACCTTTTAAGTTCATTAATGCATCATTTGTTTTCTGTGTGCGTACGGGTTCGGCAATGGACGTGAACTAGACGTGAGATTGTGTTGCAGATGTCTATGTGGATGTAGGTCTTCTACCCATCCACATTCGCATAAACACTCATTACCACACTTAAACCCATATCAAGCCCCATGCAAAGCCCAAACCTGCTTCACATTCATCTACAGTCCACATCCACTGACACTCACGTTCCTATCCCTTCTACACTCATGCGTACCCAACGATTTAAATAAAGAGAAACAATACCACACATATTGAAAAGTACTTTGATTGCAATTAGAAGCTCTGTTGATCACCCTTATAATTATAGTGTTACAGTGAAAAAGATCACACTACCTAACCTTAGAGGGTTTCGTAGAGGAAAAAAGTGTTTCACAAAATATACGAAACTTTTTAAGATTTTTAAAACTGTATCTATTCAAGATGACAACAATCATTGTTTAGAAAATAATTTTTATCGAACTATTTTCAAAGATAATAAATATTCGTCTGTTTTCTTTTCATCTTTGAATTGTTTGTAATTAATCTGATGACTGGTTAATGTTTTTGCATAAAAGTAGATTTATTTTATATTGTAATAACTAATGAACCATTTTATTTCTAGGCAAATCGAATCAACGATGTTATTCTCCCATAATATTCGATATATTTTATTATATATTATAGTAGAACTATTAAAAATAAATTGTGTTCTATCGATTTGGCCATCTTCTAATAGTTCTAATATATACTTATTAGGACTTTTTTATGAAAAACCAAATGGATCCAACAGTAACAGTATACCTATTCAAAGTCGAGCTATGTTTAAAGCAGCAGTATTACTTTCAAATAGATATAATATAAAAATCAATGGAAATTTAATCGGATGGCAATCAGAACAATCAACTGGAAATCTAGTAGATTCATTAAGTGATACATGTCGTTCAGTATCTCAATCAAATATAGTTGGTATAATTGGTCCAGAATTATCAAGAGAAGCAGTTATAATATCTCCGGTTGGTCAATCTCTTGGTATACCAGTTATAGCATATAGTGCAACCAGTCCTGATTTATCTGATAAAATTGCCTATCCAAATTTTTACCGAACAGTTCCGCCAGATAATACAGCTGCAAAAGCTCTTATTACCCTATTCAATAGATATGATTGGACATCATGTGTAATAATTTATCAAAATGATGCATTTGGATCTGGTGGATCAAAAGCTATAAGTGATGCATTTTATAGAAGTGGATTGACGATAACACAAATGATTCTATTTGATATAGCAAAACGTAGTTTTCGTGTTGATTTAAAAAATACTTTAATGAATTCTCCAACACGAATTATTATAGTATGGGCTGAAACAGTTTATACATATATTATATTAGAAGAAGCGCTTCAAGCTAATGTTGTTGGTCCACATTTTACATGGATATTAAGTTCTCATGTATCACTAAATTCTTTCAATATAGCATATAAAGATAATTTAATTGGAATGATTCTAATTGAACCAACTGTTGGATCAGTTATAAATGCTCCATACAATATGACATTATTAAATGAAGCATATAAAATTTGGCAAGAATATGAAAATGAAACATATCCTGAACCGAAAAATGTTGACTATTATGCATTATTTGCATTTGATGCAACATGGTCATTAATTAAATCATTAGAAGCATTATGTTCATCAACAATAAATAATGCTTCTTCTTCATGTTTATCATTCAATTCATCTTCATTTTGTTACGATAGTCGTTTTATTCAATCTAATTTATTATTAAATCAACTTGATAAAACTAATTTTCTTGGCGTTTCTGGTCCTGTTCAATTTGGTGAAAATCAAACAGATCGAATAAGTGGTTCATATTATTCAATAAAAAATGTTCAATCATCTGTATATGGTTTAAATTATGTATTTGTATTAGAATATTCTGACCCTGGTAATTTGAGAGTACCTTTACAAGAAAATACAATTATATGGCCAGGGAATACATTAATGCCACCTACAGATCGAGCTAGTCTTAAAGGTGTTACCTTAAGAGTTGGTATTATTCAATCAGTTCCATATACAATAGTTCAAAAAACAACAGATTCAAACGGACAAACTACACTAGAATATATTGGTTTTATACCAGATTTAATTGAACGATTAAAAACAGATATTGGATTTAATCCAATTCTCCAACTAGCACCATCAAATCAAAGTTATGATGGGTTAGTTGAAACAGTAAATAAAGGTGTTAATGATATAGCTATTGGTGATATTACTGTTAATTCAAAAAGAAGAAAATTAGTTGGATTTTCTAATGCTATATCTGAGACTTCATTACGTCTTATTATTAGAAATACTCCGGATGCCAATGTTGATCTTTTCGGATTTTTAAAACCATTTTCAGTTAAGCTATGGATATTAATTTTAGCTACTTGTATTTCTTCGGGGATTTTAATGTGTATTATTGAAAGAAAAGATAATGAAAATTTAACAGATCGATCAGTATCATCTCAGTTAACATTGAGTATATGGTATTCTTTTGCTAATATGGTTGGATATGGAGCAGATTTTGCTGCTAGTAATGCTGCTGGACGCCTTTTAACTAGTGGTTTATATATATTAAGTTTAATAATAGTTGCATCATATACAGCTAATTTAGCATCTAACTTAACATTAGCTAAATCGCGATTCGTTATATCTGATATTAATGATCTTAAGAGTGGAAAAATACCATCTAGTCGTATTGGTGTTCGTGTAGGTACAGTTGGTGAAGCTTATTATTTATCTCATATATCTGGTGGAAATAAAAACTTTTATCCATTAACAACCCGACAAAGTTTATATGATAGTCTACTTGCTGGTATTATTGATGTATCATTTATAGATGAGGGAATAGGTATATATGTAATCAATAATGTTTATTGTAATTTAACTTTAGTTGGAGCTGGTTTTGATACAGGAGTTTTTGGTATTGCTACTCCTAAACAATGGTTATATGCACAAGATTTAGATGTTACTCTATTATCATTGAAAGAAACAGGTTATATAGATGATTTAATACAGAAATGGTTTGCAGTAAGAAATTGTCCAGATTCAGAAACAACAACATCAAATGCTATGGATATTGAACCTGTTAGTGGTATATTTATTATTTATGCAGTTATTTGTATTTTATCCATAGTTTTATTTCTATGGATTAAAAGATTTCGTGTTAAAGATGTTTTATTTAAATCAAAATCAAGAAAAAAGTTTCAAAATAAAAGAAAAGATTCAACGAAAACAAATGCAGAGGAAAATTCTCAACAAGGAAAAAATCACCAAATGGCTTTACAAATTTCTACATATTTTTAGTCAAAAATTTTATTTATTTATTTAAATGAATCTTCTATCTACCAATTTCATTGAATTAAATTCGCTCTTTTTTTTAAAAAGAACAAAGTAAACAGCTTATTAAACGTCAGTGCTATTTTATTGGCATAAAATTTTTCTCGAAGAATTTATTTATGCCTCATAGAATTTTGTTCATATCCATTTAAATAAAAATTCTGAAGAAAATTAACAGAGAAGACGTTATTTATTCAAATCGTTTTATTCGAAAACAAAAACGAAAAAGTTAAAACCAATATTTTATTTTATTTTGTTTTACTTTATTATATTTATCTTGTTGATTTCTTTAAAAAGCTGTCATTTGTTGTTCTTGGGTCGTTCCATGGGTACTCAACTATAAAAACACAAAAGTCTCAAAAAATATTTTAACATATCCTGTCTTGTAGAGAAATTAATGCTGATGATTTTGATTAAAAAATTTAGAAGCCCCCGGGGGCTTCTATTATGGGAAGGGGGTATCTTTTCGTTGGTGGATGTTTGATTTAATCCACAGATTTGCTAAAGTGTGGATGTTATACTCTAATGTTGAGGATGATAGGGTGCGGATGTGCAGTGTGGGCGGGTGGGTGGGTGGATGTGGATGTGATTGTAAACCATTGTGAGCTGACATCCACAACCACCCACACCTACACTAACCTCCCATGGAGTAAAATATTGGAGGAAACGGACTGCGTAACGCGTTTCCGAGATTTCAGCATGCGTTTCGCAACGTTTTTTCAATATAGGACGCGTTTCGCAGAATTCTTACTTACTTAAAATGCGTTTTGCCACAGTCGTTTTTTGAAACGATCCGAAACGCTTTTTTCAAGATTGCGTGTCGAGGCGTTTCCGAATTAAAATGCTGTGGAACGCACTTTGGTCGACAGGCGACGCGTTCCACAGATACAAATTGGGGGAAACGTAAAACGCGTTTCTTTTTCAAATGTGTGTTGCATTGTTTTTGCTTGGAATGATGCAAACTAAATCCATTCTGCATACAGAATCTTGCAGAAATTCACCAACACAAAGCATAGGAGTTAAGCAAAGTAAATTCTTTAAAATTACTTTGGAAATGATATGAAATAGCACTTGAAAGTTTTGCTTCTTGCACTATTTTTGTACGTGAAAATCATGACCCAAGATTTTATGAAGGTAAGACTAAAATCAAAGTCTTGGAAATTTTTAGGCTGCTAGGCTGTTATCTAGACCTAATTCGAAGTTAGACTAATGTAAAACATCAAAGTGTAACAAAAAAATATATTCTTCTTACTTAAAAACTCATTTCACCACGTTTTTATTGAAAGAAAACGTGTTTTGTAAGGTTTACTTAAGAATTGTTTTCGACTTGTCCACGGAGGGAGATGATTCCTTCACGCTCGTTTGTAATGAATGAGAAGTTACAGACAAATTTGCAGTGTCTCATTTTAACAAGCACAATTTTTTGTCCAAGATTGCAAATGCATTGGATTCTAGAGATCGAGTCATTTGTATGAAATAAAACAAATAAAGCGTGACGGAATCACGTTTTAAGTGGACAGGTCGTTTTAAATATTGAGCATTTCGAAAAGATTTAGTAAAGACTGATACTAATATAATTAGTATAGCAACTCTCTTTAGTTATTTGTGAACAAAAGAATTATCGCGTTATCTATAATTTGAATAATTATTAGTTTGAGTTCATACTCGAACTAATTGATAATAACTAATGATACTGTGTACAATACTAGTAAACATGATTTTAGTTTGTACATTGTTGAAGTAAGAGTGACTTTTTAATAAAAGAGATTCGATTTACAAAAGAAAACTCCTTTCATTTATTGATGTAATTGGATAAAACGATAACGGATTTACATTTACAAAAATCTATTAATCAAGAAAATAAATAAAAAATTAAATTTTAAATTTTTTAAAATTTATATATAAGAAATTTAATTTTTTATATATTAAATACGGTGTAAATCGATTAAATTCGTTTCTATTGTGTATCTAAATTTAAATCTGAAAGAGTTTAAATACAAAATGTATCAAGAAAAGACCACACTCGTAATTGGACATAGGCACCAAAGAAATGATAATTTTTAATTCAGTGGAATGGAAACTGAAAATTTAATTTAGTAAGTTTACGCGGGACTCTAAATGACAGTAGAATAAACACTTATATCATTAGATTATTTTAGTTGAACGGTTTGTATACATGTCTTATACTCCTATGTTCTCGTGTTCGAATCCGTGTCTTGACTGCATCAAAATTCATGTAAGTTATAGTTCTAAAGGCCTATGAAAAAATGTAAACGAATACATAAATTGTACCTGCAATTCAAGATCTATGAAGCCATTGACGATTTTCAATTTTTTTTCCATCTAGAATTTACGACAGCACAGTTTGAGAAACGCTGCGAAATTTTTCACAAAAACAATCATTACACAGCGTTTGTTTTAGCAAATGTGAAACGCGTCAAACCGGTCAGCATTAACGCGTTTCGCAGCTATGGAAAAATGCGTTTTCAGAACGCGTTTTTTTCGCAGAAATTTACACCATGGGCCAACTTATTTTGATTAGATTACAGCTATATCCAATTAGATAAGTAATGCTCCATTGCATTTAAGACCAATAATTGTACTGGTTCCACATTTTCCTTATCTTTAATAATTAAGTTAGCAGATCAAGGCATCAAGTCATATCAAATACTTATAATTGGTAAAAAGGAACATAAATTTATTTCTTTATCGTCAACCTTGAATTCTAAATATTGAAAAACGCTACCTATTTGAAACTAGTAAAAATACGAAGATATTTCCATTAAATGTCTGTTTACTGCAATGGAGTCCATTTGGACCCCACTTGATAATACCAAGGTTAGCGAGGCATCTGAATATAACGTTCATCAACTTGACGTCCAAAAAAGTATGATTTACATCAAAAACCCAGAAGAACATCTAGAAAAAGTGAATGTTAGAAGAACGTCACGTATTGATCGAATACTTCAATTAATCAAATAAATCAAGTTCTGCACTATAAAATACGAATCATCGAAATACATTTTCCCTTGTATTGACATTAATAAATATTTTGAATATACAGAAGCGAAAAGTGACAAATGAAACTATACCCAAACTCAATAAGTGTATTGACTTCACATGGTAGAGCAAAACTCGAAACCAAAATAATCTAAACTCAACTATCAAATGTCTTCGATTAGATATCCCTATTGAAAGGTACTAGACTAAGCCTAGACTTTCTTACATCTCTCTATTTATTATAATACGATGAATGTTAATTATGAATATCATAAGAAGGAGATAACATCCAAGCTTACCTTGGTAACAGCAGCGTTACAACAATTCGGATATGGATATATCCGGATGTGTGTGTATATATATCTATGGCGTGCGAATGATATATTGCTTATGTTTCAATAAGTTAGTGGTAAACCGTTCTCTACTCGTATAAAGAATGTCATCACTCGATTCGATATGGGCTTTTCCACTCCTTTCCTATTACTGAGCTGTCTTATCATCGATGATTAACACTGATATCTATACTTACATGGTAGAAAATATTACCATGATATGCGTTGTACCAAAACACTTGATGAGACAACGAGAAAAAAAAGAACTGTCTTTCTGTTCTATGAAAATAGCAATCTCGGATAGAAGATAATCTGCAAGATTTTGGTGTGGAGCGTGAGATGTGGGTGTGAGTTTGAATTAAGATCAGACTCACACTAACGTCCAAACCTACACCCACACCTCACATCCACACCCAAGAGAACTACAATGGTCACCTGGAACAGCTCATGGTTACCATGTTTTAACTTATGGTTGGCTAGCAGGTGAACTCGTTCGACGGGTTGATCCAAAGAAAAGAACATTTGGACAATTCGTTCGTGATGAAATTGCGAATCCATTACAAATAGAATTTTATATTGGTCTACCATCAGAGCCAGAATATCGTGTGTCACCGATCGAGACTAGGTTAAACAACATTGACATTGTTGATGAAAGTGTAATTTCTCAATCAAGTCCTTTCAATGATTATCGTTTACATCAAGCCGAAATACCAGCTGCAGATGGAATAACAAATGCGCGATCCATCGCACGACTCTACGCATCTCTAATTGGTGATTTAGAGCATGGTAAACACAAAAGATTTTTAAATGAAGAAGTTCTGAAACAAGCAATTAAATCGAATACACCTGAAAATGAAATTGATATCACTTTTGGGACTCCTACCAAATTTGGCATGGATGTTCTACTTTATGATAATATGATTACTTCACTTGAATTTGACGTTTTTGAACACAGCGGTAATGTCATTCATTACTAATACATGCTCAATCTTTTTTTTAATATTTAGGATTGGGTGGGAGCATAGGCTTCGCTGCACCTGCACACAATTTATCGTTTGCTTATGTTATTAATCGTATGCATATCGATGAGCAAATCAGCATTGATGCTCGATATAAGTCCATGCTAAACAAAATCGGTTCAAAGCTCAATGGAAGTCTTAAATTCTGATTCAAAATGCAGAAAAAATTCTCTAAAATTTCATTATATGAGTTGAGTTTTTTTTGTATCGATTTTGTAGATGAAGATTTCCTTGAATCTCTATTCAAAAGATAGCAGTTGTATCATCAATGATGCTAAAGCTAGAATAATCCTTCATCAAAATTGTCCCAATCTGGCAGATCAATGAGCTATTTGCGGAAAGTGGGCATGAGTTTTCATACCCACTATTGTTTATATCCACACCCACACCTCAGTAATTCCTAGAGAAACAGTAAGTGCTTTGGCCTATATAACAGACACGGAAGCACCATCGATATTGACCGATGAGAAGTTAGAAGATATGAAGAGCTTACTTATCTCTTCAAAATATTTGACTAAGATCGCGTCCCATCTTGTATGATCAGCGATTGTTAAACTATTGTTTCTATAAGCCTTTATAAAAGAATCTTGTTCGTGTTGTCCATTGATGATTTGAA